TATAGAAGACAGCATATTTGAAGGCACTTGTCTTGACAGTTTTGCAGGTCTAAGTGATCACTAGTGATGCTGAAAATATGACTATAGTTGTGAATCAAATAGGGGAGAACGAAGGTACACATGGCTCACTGTAAGGTATCTTTCTCTATATTGGAGATGGTGTATACCAGATAACCTATAGAAGACAGCTTATTTGCAGGACCTTGTCTTGACAGTTTTGCAGATCTTAGCGATCACTAGTGATGCTGTAAAAATGGCTCCGGTTCTAAATCGAATAGTGAAGAACGAAGGTTCACAATGTGTTAGTGTACCCTATAATGAACATTAAAAAGTGTGTAGGCGTGCTTTTTGTTTGAAAAAGTTTATTGAGCGGGCTATCGTTTTTCTCAGATATTTTTACACCAGAAGATGCAGTTTTTCACGGGCTATCTTCTGGTGTCATCAAATTTATGGGGAACCTCCATTTTTAAAGGAAAAGATTCGAAATACTTTGAAAAAACGCTCAAAATCGAAATATTTTTTGGTTAGAAAATACTTTATTGGTCCTTGTTTTTCCATATAATAATGTTTGTGGAGAGTCCAAAAAGGCATAGTCTGATAGCCACAACAATGCTCTTTCTTTTTCCATAAGTCATCACTATGTTAATGTTCGAAATAATGGAACACTTTCGTACCATATTAAAAGTACGAAAAATGACAGTTTTTTGGCTAGGTCCTATTACCCTGTTATCGAAGTGTACTTCAGAACTCAGCAATGGATGGTCAGATCAAGCTAATATTTTGGATTTAGTACTAACTCTAAAAGGCCTTTCATTTGAGAAGATCAAATCCAAAATCAAAATTTTGTCCACGGCCATGATATCTGGTATTCTCGCGGACCCTCTCTTAAGAATACTGAAGCTAGTCTATTTTATTGTTCATCAAAATCCTGCCTCTAAGTTTTGAATTCACTCTGTTTCATAGTGCAATAAGTGCTAAGGATCAGGGTGAATGTATTGATTATGATCACGAAAAGTTAGCTAGTCATTAGATACTTCAAAATTTCGAGCTCACTTTCTGAACTATTTTTAACCGGTTATCAGAAACTCTTAAACTTTCGATATCAAAATATCAGAAAAGAGTCTGTTCCACTGAGATAGTTATGCCAACCATTAGCATGATGCAACTGTAAAAATATCTAGGCATCAGGAAATCTAAAAATATAAAGCCTAGTATAAAACCAAACTTTATAGATCATTTTATATTTTTATGTAGAGTAGTATCCTTTCAAGAATCACAAAGCCGTTCAAATTATGTTAAGCAATGATTTCAAATAAGATATCTTAGATCAAATTTGTCAATTCTTGAGAGTTACTATATGATAAGTTTTAAAAGAGTTCTTCCATCTTTCTTAGTATTAGTATATATAGAACGTGACAGACTAAAATACAACTTATTACTATTGAAACTTCAAGAATCATATGACTTTCAAGTTATATATATTTGTAGAACTTCAATAGTAAACTTTCTCAAAAGAACTAGTTAGTTAATTGTTATGTTAAAAAATCGTTTCAATTTAAAATTATACCGACGATTATTTATATTACAGTTTGCATTGCATTGCAGCGAAAAATTTATTTCATCTGAAGATCTACTATCGGACTACTATTGAATCTGATTGCAAATAAAAATTTATACGTTGATTCTTGATCATTGAAATTAAAATTTATACTCTTTTTACTAAACACTATATGGCAATGATCTTGAATATATATTATTTTGTTATATTTGACAAATCAATTTGTAATCGATTGATAAATGTTCTATTTTTATTGGTTTGTCTTTTTTCTCTGTTTATTCATTTTATTGTTTAGTTGACTGTTGTTCATCATTTTTGCAAAGCTTTCGATGAAGATGATAATTCATGTCAAAAAGAAAAAATAATCTTAGAAAGAGCTGCTTGTTATCTTTCATCAGATTATTATTTGAAAACGAAAAATTCATCTAGTTTATTTCTTTTTTACTTTCTCTTAAATTTTGTAATTAAAATCTATCATTAATCTATATTTATAGATGAATTAACACAGCAAAATTCATCGAAAGATAAAATGTTAACACATACTAAATGTGTTCGTTTTGATATAATTATTTCTTAATTATCATGATTGTTTTTGACTAAGAATACCATTCAGAACAACTACACAAATTGTATAACCTCCTTCAATAACAAGTAACGAAGCTGTCACAATTGCTAATGGAGATACTAATCTTTCACGTATCTATTTTAAAGAAGAAAAAGAATGTGCACCATCTGATTCACAATTAAATACAAGCGAGTGACCTATGATTGAAGTTAAGCAACAAAAAACTGAAAAATAGAATTGTGCCCTTTTTTCTATATTGTTGCATATTTAGTGTGAAAATAAAACATGTGCAACATGATATTTGGTTACTTTTAATAGTCAAGATGTCCATAAATAAGATTGAAGTATAAAAAAAGACTAAAAATTTAAATGTTTTAATTTTTAATTGCATATAGATACTGCAGAAGAATTGAATACAAAATTTTTATTTTATACTTGTAATTAATGTTGTAAGTGAGAGAAGACCCATTCGTAGAACGCATGAAAAATCATTCTTTAATATCTTGATAATTGCTATACTTTATATTCATTCCTCTTCGAATTTAAATATTCAAGAAATTTTTTTCTTATCCCGTATTTGGTCTTGTTCGATACAATGGTGTTTCACATGATCATCCTGCAGTAAAAAATGTTATATAAATATTTATAACAATAGCTGAACATGAATATGTGGAAGAACTACAAAACTTTTGTCGTACTATTTGCCTATAGTTCATCTGTCGAACGTAGTTTTAAGATTTTTGATGAGAAAACATTAGAAAATATTTTTTTCTACTAAAGATTGTGTTTGATAGTATAATAGTAAAATGAAAAACAAAATATTTTTTAATCCATTATTAAAAAAAAACATTTTTCAAACAAGTGTACCAGAAAATATTCAATTTTAAGTACAACTTGATTGTACAACAGATCAAGCTGTTATTATAGAATTGGGAAATATAGCATTTTGATTGTGCTAGAATTCTTCTTTCGTCTATTGATGATTTAGCTAAAATAGATATTACTGATATCGTAGTACTTGATATACTTCGTCAAAGTCGAATACAACATATGATACTTATTGTTCGACGTAGACGAATCCAAATATTATCATTTACTATAAAAGAATTTCGTGAACTTACTACATTAACTGGTTTACAATCAATATGAAAACACAATAATGAAATACTTGAATATTTTCACTGAAATTATTCTAATAGTACAATAGTTGAATATTTGAAAAGTTCCTCAATAATTGAATTCGAAGTTCAGATTTGAGACTACTGCATGGTTAATGAACAGCAAGCATTTTTCTCTGCTCATGGATTCAAAATAACTGTGCACATGGAAAGAAGCAAATGTAAACATTAGCTAGCTTATGGTGATATTCGATAGTAAGAAGCTTCTCACTGTATTAGTTATATTATGTGATGAAGGTGATTGTTACAAGCGCTTCTCTCTTTTCTTTTTCTTGCGTTCACGCTTCGTTAATTTCTTTTTATCATACCAATAGATTGTTTGTGCATCGAAAAACACTCATCAATATAATACACACCATGTGACTAAACAAGCATATAAAAAAAAATCACATCGTATCTCAATCAATAATATCGAACATACATATCAAAATCCAAGCTAGATTAGCAACGAAGATACTAGATTAATGTCAGTAAGCTTCTGAAAATAGATAGATGGAAATCACATCGATAATGTGTTAAGCTGTTCAATGTTATTTAACTTACATCAAGACTAAAATGGCTGTTGACTGTGTTTTCTCGAAAACAAGTTCTGCTTGAATATGGAATATGGAATGCATTGCATCATTTTTCATCGTTAATTGACAGAGGTAAGTAACAGTTCATATCGATTTCAGTTACGATACTAATTTCTGTGTTTTCGAAATCTGATAAAGCTGAGTATAAACTCATTATTATTTATCTAAGGCATCATTATCAATATTTTCTTTGTCTTGCATCAAATGATAGGCATAAGTCATATGTGATTTCTCTATAACACTAACGATAAGCGTATCAGAAGATCATAAAAATAACTACGATGTCCATTTTTTTTAAAAATAGATCAAGAGGGAATCATTGTACGAAACCATTGATAGTTTCGAAGAATATCGAAAGGTTCCATACGTACAACACGAAACCACCCTTAGTTCCGCAAGTAGTAAAATGGTTCCGTACAATTTGTACGGAACTATTGTTGGTTTCGTAACCTTTATTTTGGTTCTGTACAAAATATATGAAACCATTGATGGTTTCGTAAAGCATCTAAAGGTTCCGTATACGTGATACGAAAACACTTATAGTTTCGGGAATGATGCAATGGTTCGGCATATCTTTATGGAACCATGCATAGTTTCGTAAATGTTGCAAAGGTTTCGGAGACATTTTACGAAACCATTGATAGTTTCGAAATGCATATAATAGTTTCGTATATTTTA